CACTGGACTGAGCCCTCCCCAGGCCCAGGGCTGCGTTCTTGGGGCGCACGGTGATGGTGAACGTGGTGACAGCCTTGCTGTTGGAGGAGGAACGGCGTTTCTCCACAGTGACCACATCGATTTCCTCTTCTTCATCTTCCTCCTCATCATCCTCGTCATCTTTGATTAAAGAATGGAGGAACATTCATGTGAGACAAAATGTTTGTGTCTAAGTCCCTTAGGGCAGTCTACAGCAGGGTCTGCTATTATTGTGGATCCATCAACATGCGGACAGAATGTACTTATTTTGTCTCTTTAAATATGGAAATAACTTTTCTTTCCCCAGACCCCTAGGGTACTATCAATTTCCTTTCAAGATTTTTGCAGGTGGGACTGAAGGTGGAGCTCAGTTGTAGAAAACTCGCCAGCATGTGCAAGCCCCTGGGCTCCACCCCCAGCACCAAAACAAAAACAAAACAAAAAACTAGCAGATGGCAGAAATACAAAGAATCTGAGCCTGAGGTCCAACAGAATCCTGGCTCCATGGTACACTAACTGCAAGATCCTGGGCAAGGTACCGGAACCTGTCTAAGCCTCAGTTTGTTAGCTCTGCAATGGGGATAATATCACAGCACCTTTGAATTTGGCAAAGACTATGTAGACTTAGCCCAGAGTTGGGCTTAGCAGACAGATGCTCAGTAATGGGAGCTTTTAGCATAATCGCCAGGCAATCTGCCCCCTGGACTCATGCACATTTCCATCTTTGCATTTCAGGAGTCTCATTTGTCAAAACACATGGCTGAGTTTGATTTTCCCTCCTTAAAACTCGAGGAACACGTTTAATTAACTAAGGAAGAAAAATAACTTTAGTTCCACAAATGTGAGTTTCTTACAGTAGGCAGTTTTGCATCTAGCAAAGATCCAATCTTAACTACAGAGCCCTAACCCACAGAAGCTACACACCCCTGAACGGGAGCAGTTCCTAAGTCACCAACAATAACAGCAACAACAAAACGTGTAGCAGCTTGTGTGGGTTTTCCCTCCTCTCCTCATTTACTACCATGCTAGGATAGAAAATTATTGTTTAAAATGMAAGCATGAAAATCAAAACACATCTTCTGCTTGATCTGATGGGGACCGGAAAGCTGAACAATTGTGGGATTTGTTCTAAAGCTGAAATGGGAGGCTGTTCCAGTCTGTGGGTCCCTTTAAGCCAGTGTTTTGGTTTTCTGCCAAGAAGACAGCTGTTGGAAGGAAATGCTTCCTCACCGAAAGCTGTCAAGGCACAGACATTAAAGGGACAGAGCCCTTTCCAACTGCAGGCTTATCACCAAGTTCCCTTCCAGGAGTCTCAGAAGGATAGGTTCCCAGCCCTGAAGGAAACTCACACTTTTTATCCATGTGCAATGTGGAAACAGTGGTTCTCAAGTCCCAAGGAGGCCCAGCCTCAGGCTCCAAGGACAAGGGCTATTCTAGTATTGGGGTGGAGTTCTGTACCTCCAGAGCTCAAGGCAAAAGCTAGGTGTTTTTTTTTAAAACCCTTCTCATCCATTTAAGATATAAAAACTCACTAAAGAACTAATCTCAGAGTCCTAAGGGATGTTTGCATTCCTGGAGGGGCTGTAAGTGCCCACCCTCACCTTCAAGAGCTCAGGGTAACAAAACACAACCCAGGTCTCCAATGAAGCTCCGTATTCCCGCTAGGAGACAAAACTGGGTCCAGTTTTCACTACACAATGGAAAGAGGAGCCCCCTTGAGAATGTGCACAGCCGCTGCTGCACTTGCTGCCAGCTGTTGAAGGGGAGGGAGGGCGCCCTGTCACCCCCAGCCTCTCAGATCCTTGGCCCGGCTGCTGGCCAGGCACACCGCCGCCTGCTGGCCACGCACCAGGAGCAAATAGCCCACCACCCACGGAGGGCCGGGGGAGGGGGAAGACCAACGTTCAGGAAAAAAAGAAAACCAGCGCCCGCCATCTGTACAGTCTCCTAACTTCTTGTGCCCTAAATAGGATCTTGTATAGCCCTTGTGTCTTTTTGGGGAGTCTTTTCCCGTCTGACCTGGGGCTGAGTCCCTTTCCACCTTGGCGCTAACAAGTTTCTGCCCTGGCAAAGAACCCAGCAGCCCTTTAACCCCTACCCGAGTTGGCCACCAACTTTTCCCAGGGTGGGAACAGGGTGAGGYCAGCCGTGGCCCAGAATAAGGTTCCCAAAGAAGGTGGGAACAACTTCAGGGAGGTGAAGTTGGGAAGAGRCACTTGCTACCCCAGCAGCTGTCTGTCTTCGACCCTAAGAGACGCTGGTGGGAATCAGGACCTATGGACCACCAGCGCTGCTGCTCCCCAGAGTCAAAACACCAAAGCTGACAAAGGGACCGCAACCCTCAGCTCCAGGGCCCCAGGGCGGCAGCCAGACCGGGACACAGGCTTTACCTGAGTCGCTCAGGGTGTCCTCTCCGGAGGTACTGAGGGCCTTGTGGTCACCGCCGTTGGCAGGGCGGCCGCCTAAGCGMGGAGGGGCGGCCACCGCGGCACTGGCTGGGGCTGCTGCTCCAGCAACCGCAGCGCCCACGGCAGGGGAACCAGCCGGGGCAACCGGCACAGGCGCTGGATCCCGTTTGTTCACCGGGAAGGGGAAGACGACGGCGGGATCCACGCACTCGGCGGCCGGGTGGGCAAGCTCCGTGGGTAAGGCAGCTCCGGCTCGGCCAGCTCCGGCCGTCCCGCCGTGCCCGCGGCCCGCAGGGCTGGCAGCTCCCGCTCCCGGGGTGGCGGAACCCGCGGCCGGTGGCCCGCGGCCGTGCTGCAGCTTCTCGCTCACCGCGCGCTCCAGCTTCTCCCGAGCGGAGAAGCCGCTCCACATGCAGTCCTGGAGGATGACCGGGTTGGGGGTGAGGCCGCCCAATCCCCCCAGGCCGAATGCGTCCTCCTCGGCGGGGTTGCCCCACAGGTCGGCCTCGGGCAGCAGCATTTCGGTGGCCCAGTGGGAGGGCTCCGGACTCTGCTCCGAGAACCCACGGCTGGGCGACAGGGGGGGCGTAGGCAGCAGCTCAAACTTCTTCCAGATGTCCTCCCCCGGGGGGGTCGAGTCGGGGCCGCCGAAGTAGAAGTCATCTTCGTCCGGGTAGAAGCAAGGCTGCAGCGAGTCAAACTCGAGGTCTGGGTTCTTGCAGATCATCCCCGGCATGGTGGACGCGGTGCAGCTCGGCATCGGCTCGCCTCCTCGCCGGCGACTAAGCGCTTCTTTCCGCTCTGCTCTTTTTAATACCGGGGGTGCTTCCTTCCCGTGGGGTATGCGAAGGGCGGGGGCCCGCGCCAATCTCCAACGCTGCGACCAACGACACACCAGGAGAGAATGGGCAAGAGTAGATTGGGGGACAGGAGTGGGCACCCCCTCTAGCCCAGTCACCCAACCTCCCTGGCCAGGCCCCCCCTCTCCGCCCAGAGCTCCCGAAGGTGGAGGAAGTTCTGCTTCTCGTTCTCTCACTCCCTCCTTTTGTGTACAAGCTGTCTACAACAAGGGGTGGGAGGGGGCATGCAGATGCAGGGGGTGGCGTGGCTCTGCAACTTTGCAAACTGCCATTTCATTCACACAAGGCACTGTCTGGGGGAGGGGGCTGTTCAAGCTACAGAATCCTAGTTCTTTACTAGCACGCCAACAAACCCCACTTGCACCATCGTAGGGCCAGCTGCTCGAAGGAAGTCCCGGCTCTGCAACCCGGCTGCCGGGCATAGGATTTCGAGTACCCTCCCTCAATCCCCTCTTTGTAAAAATGCAACCTTGGTAGTGCAAATCATAGCAGGGGATTTAGGAAACTTTGCAAATGGAAAGAGCCTTTCTCTAGACAGAGACCAACAAGAGGCACCCAAATCCATAAACCTCACCCCTCCTCATTTGAGCCGATGCCCTTTGGCATTCACCCGTCGCAGGGATATCCCTGCCAATAGCTTATTTTGAAGCTATCCAGCCCCTCCCCCTCCTTCCAAGTCCCCAACAACGACCTCTTCCTGGGAAGGGGGCGGCTGAGCCCCATCCTGGGAATGGTGCAGGGGCGCCGGCGCGGGGAGGGTAGCAGGGAGAGCGCGTCTCCTCTAAGCTGGAGCGGTCGTGACCCAGATTACCACCGCGGGCAGCCTCGCCCCGACTAACCCCCTTTCCTTCCTCCGATGGCACCATTTGGAGAAGAGCCCCGGCTTGGGGTGGGGACGCACCGGCTCCTCGTCAGCTCAAACATAGACAAATCTTCTAGAGCAGGGCGAATTTCTTTTCGCTGAAGCCATTACTCTTTCCTTGCAAAGGCTGTAAAAGGATTAGGGCGGGTCTCCTCCAGCCCGGGTGCCTAACGGGCTGAACTGGCTTTTCAGGGAAAACCCCGAGATGGTTTTGTTTCGGAAGCATAAACAGTCCCCCGGGCACATTCGGACGCCTGGTGCGCGAGCCGCGATCCCGTCCAGGGCTAGCCTTGCCGCGGCGCTCGCCGCTCCCCGGGCGCCTGGCGGTTTGCAAACCCCGCTCCTTACCTCCGGTCGACTGCCGGGGATCCGGAGGAGATTCTGCGCTGGGGTCTCCGGGTGGGCTGTGGGGGGTGGGGGGGTCCTAGGGCGGCTGCAGTCTGTGAGCGCTTGCGCCCAGCTAGCGCTCGCTCGGCTCCAACCCAGTTCCCAGGAGCCCCCCGCATCCACCCAGCGCGTCCAGACAGATGACTGTCACTGGCTGCGCTTTGAAGCTCGGGAGATATTATTAACTGAAAAATCTGACACACCCGGGGGGCGGGGAGAGAAGGGGGCTGTGGCGCAGACAAGGGGGAGGGAGAAAGGCAGAGGAAAGCGGYTTTACCCCGCCCTCTTGATTTCCATAAAAATCAGGGGAGGCGCCAAGGCTTTCGCGCCAAAAGCCACTTGCTTTTCTTCTTTGCAGTGGAGGTTGCAAAGCTGGGAAGCCTGGGATGTTCTCCTCCCGCCCTTTTGGACCCCTGGGCTTGCACCCGGTGCACTCCGTGAACCAGCTGCTCGCCGAGCGGTGCAATGCAGCAACCACCAAGTGGGCCTGGCAATTGCTTGACATTAAAAAAAAAAAAATTTAAAAAAAATTTTTTTTCTGAAGGGCTCTAGGGTATAGGCTAGGGAGGGGGAACCGAGGCTTCTAACCCAGTCCCCGCCTAAGCTGCATTTGTGTGCAGCTAAGCTCGAGGCCAGCGTTGAGCAAGATCTTGCTCGGGTGTGATCTGCGAGAAGGGCTACGAGGGTGCAAAATGGGAAGGAGCGGACGCGCCCATTTAAGAACAGACCGAAGGCTTTTTCTAGTCTCAAATGGAAAGGAGGAGAGGGGCGCCCCCCTTGTTTGAAAATAAATAAGTGCGGGCTACCAGGGTGGCGCCGCGGTGATTTCTTCGGCCGAAAGCGACACCTCGCGGAGACCCAGCAGAAAGCGGAGCCGCCCAGTGTCGACTGGGGGCCAGAGCGGGCGGCCCCGCAACTCTCCGCTGCCCTGGCCWCAGTTGGCAGGTCCTCACCACTGAGGATCGGGGCGTGCGGCCCCAGTGACCAAGGGGATGGACGTCCGTCCCTTGCAGTCGTCCCCACCTCTCCCGAGGAACTTTTTCAAGCCATCATTTCCGAAATGATGGGCAGTGGGTGCGTTTCACAGAGAAGGAACTGTCGTCACACCTCCCGGCTCAAGTCTTGAGTCTGAACTGTCAGAGGCACAAAGGAAAGCTGCTGTTAGGACTCCCTTCTTTGTGCCTCAGTTTCCTCGGTTGTGAGGTGGAGTGAGCAGCGGTGCCTACTCATTGGCTGTTTTGAGAAATGAGTTACAAAAGAGCTTAGAATAGTGCCCAGTCCATGCGGGTGTTGGCCATTATTATTATCAGAGCACGGTAATTCTTCCGGGGGAAATTAACCCGCTGTGGAACCCTGTTTGTGCCGTTGGGCCCCACCCCCGCAAATCCTCACCCGATTCTGGGAAGGGATTTGTCCCAGCTCCCAAACTCCCCAGGAACGAACCGGTCTCCAGCAGCCCCTTTCACAACCAAATACACAGCGAGTGGAATTTTGTCTTCAAAAACATTCCTGAGGCTTGTTTGGGGGAGGGGAACCTGGCCTCGAAGATTGGGATGGGCAGGCTTCCCCATTCCCCATTTGCCCGACAACTGGAAATGCCACCCCACCCCCTTCGCCTCAACCTTCAGCTACTTGAGGGTATGAATGCAGAGGGTCTGGGAGCAACCCATAAAATGCTTAGTATTAGCATTTGTGAAGGCATTCCAGCTGACCCTGGGTGCCTCCTTAATTCGGGAAGAGAGGCAGATTCCAAGGGCTCCAAGAAGTAGTTCAGGAAGGAAGATGAGCCCGGCTTCCACCGCACCTTTCTTATTATTTCCCTCACATATGTAAAACACATCATTCTTCCAAGCCAAGCCCTCCTGCTGCATTCTCTCCCTCCCTGCGTCCTGGCTTTTCCAAAGGAAGAAAGCAAAGCAGCCCTGACCTTCCATGGGTAGTTTGTGTTTAACTGAAATATTTGTTTAATGTCCTCCTTCCTGGGAGACAGGTGCAGTTGGCCTCCTTAACCTGTGAGTTCCTGGGGCSGAAGAATCCTCGGGGCACAGTAAGGCATCTGTATACAGTAGGTGCTCTAGGATATTGTTAAGGCCCAGAGCACCGAATGAGACCTTCTAAGACACCCAGATCTTCCAAGCAGTTTGTGTTTATTAAGGACAGAAGGGGATGGTAACAAATGTGACAACAGAATCTCTTTCAGACTCTCAAAACAGCCTCAGAAAGTGTACTGGAAGCTACCTGTCCCACCTTCCTACCAAAATGGTGAAAATAGGCCAACCTGGGCCTGACTGGTGCATGTAAAAGTCCTCTCTTGCCACACTCCACCACATCGGTAACGCACCCTCTGTGGTAGCACAAGTGTAGCAGGAAAAGAGAGGATAAGGAGACCTACATGCCTCTGAGCAAATCCTTTATCCATCCTGGACCTCAACCTCTAATTTGCTTTTAATGCAAGCCAGCAATTACTGACATGTCTGAATCTGAAGGTTAACAGAATGATAAAATGCAACAAATATTTATTGGTACCTTCCTTTGCAAGTAGAAAGATAAAAGACTGTACATAGAGAAAACTTGCCYAATGCCCGCTCTGGGTATACTTGAGGAGAAGCCTGAAAATTCCTCTTCCAAATGTTGAAACACTCTCGGGCTGTGTGGACACAAACCAAACAAATCTTTCAATGACTTCAAAGCCAAGGTTTTGTTCATGTCCTGAGCCCCAAAGTGGACTTAGAACAGAGATGACTTAAAAAGTCTCAGGATCTCACCATGGACTAGGATGGGAGTCACATCTAAGACACATCTAACCCTCAACGTAATGAGCATCTGAGAAGACAAAATTAGAGTCTGGGTTTGGTTTACAAAGAAGGAGATTTGGGGGAGAGAAGAATGTTTTAGCCTACAAATCCCTTCTTTACTAAAAGAAACAACAAATTAAAAAAAAATAGCAACAATACACATAAACAAATTCAGAAGCGCCCAATCCATGACTAGCTAGGAGACCAACAACCTCATGCAGCCTCAGAGACCATGGTTTCTCCTAGGAACTTCATATTGGGTGCCAACCCTCACCACATACAGATGTGTAAATTTTGCTTATTAAATGTTTTTTTTTTTTTTTAAGTTCCTGTGACCAATTGAATCTTCATTTGAAAAAAGAAGAAAAATTGGCTGCCTTCCTTACCCAAATGTAATGTGTGTGTGTGTGTGTGTGTGTGTGTGTGTGTGTGTGTGTAATGTAATGTATATGGCTGGATTTAAGATTTAATTGGAAAAAGTAAGACTATAAAAGCACAAGAAGAAAACAGATTAACGAGTAAAAACCATATTTAATTACATAAGGGAGTCCCAATAAAATAATGAAACTGTAAGAAGGATGGGATGATTGAAGTTTACATAAAGGAACAGTGGCTTAGGTTCTGGGGGCTTATGGGAGGGGAGTGGGAAGTGTCTGATGGATAAGGGTGTTTTGCTACAAGCTGTCTGGAAGCAGTCTCCCAAAGAATAGGTAAGAGTCCACCTGGGCACAGTGTTAAGGAGTTCTTCTTCCCAGGCCTTGAGGTTCTTGGGGTGGAGATTAAGGACAATTGAGTTCCTTCTGGGGATCAGTCTTCAGGCAGATAAGGGCAGCTCAGAGCTTTCCGCAACCGGCACCTACTACTGACTGAGTGCCCTCAGCCTTGTGTCATTAGCGCACCAAAGAGGCATATTTTGAGTGGCATTTCCCGAAGTACTTCAGAGGAAAAGATTATGTTCCCTGTGTACAGAGGGCTCCTACAAATTGAAGAGAGAGAGAGAGAGAGGGAGAGAGAGAGACAGAGAGAAAGAAATCGGGGTCCCAGATATGAATAGATAATTCATCTAACAGGAGATGCAAGTTGTCAACAAAATATGAAAAGATGCTCAGCTTCACCAGTAGTCAGGGCAATGCAAATTAAATCTCAAGGATTTTAGTGATTTGGGTCTGGCTGATTGGCCTTAAGTATGGTGAAGGGGTTGAAGGGTGGGGGCCCTCTCATACACTCTTTTTTTCTTGAACCCCAAGAGTAAAAATAATTCCACACAATAGAATCCCTCTGACAAGAAATAATAAAGCAAAAACATTAAAATACTTAAACAAGAATATGTATTACTGCAGTGTTCACAATAACAAAACATTGTAAGTGATCTAAATACCAGTTAATATCGAGATGTGGTGGCTGAAGCCTGTAATTCCAGCAACTCAGGAGGCTGAGGTGGGAGGGTGGCAAGTTTGAGACCAGCTTGGGCAATTTAGCAGAACATTGTCCCAAAATAAAATAAAAAGGGCCAGGGATATTAAAAAAAAAAAACTGTCAATAAAATAGTATATATAGACGGTCCCTGACTCACATGGTGTGAAAGTGATACCCACTCAATAGAAATTATACTTTGAAATTTGAATTTCCATCTTGTCTCAGGCTTGCTAAATGCAGTACAATACTCTTTCCTAATACTGAGCAGTAGTAGTGAGCTGCAGTTCCTTGTCAGACACACTTCAGGGTACTGTGTTGCTAACACTACGATGTTTGGTAGGTTAGATGTTACATGTATTTTTAAACTTTTTGGTGCAGGGGTTGAATCTAAGGTCTCATGCRTGCTAAGCATACGCTGYACCCCTGAGCTGCACCCCCAACCAAGATTAGGTGTTTTAAAGCTATTTTCAGGGGCTGGAGCTGTGGCTCCGTGGTAGAGCACTTGCCTCGTATGTGTGAGGCCCTGGGCTCAATCCCCAGAACCACATAAAACTAAGTAAACAAAGGTATCATATCCATCTACAACTAAAAATATWTTTTAAAAAGCTATTTTCAACTTAGGATATTTCACTTTACTATGGGTCGTTGGGATCCAACCCTATCATAAAGTCAAGGAGCACTATATCTCAGCAGTGGGATAATGAGCAGCCACAAAAGATAAAAGATACAGAGGTACTGACTCAGAAAGTGTCTCTAAGTAGGAACGAAAAGAAGCAAAGGATGGATGGAGGGCCTTGCATTTGGGATGTGTGTGTCTCTAGATATACCTACCTAAACCCAAGCGCAAACTAGGAAGAATRTGAAGCAAATTGCTACCCGTGCTTTATAATGAAAACTAGAAATCAGACTGATAGAGGGAGAGAAACTTTCCTCCTGATGAAATTGTTTTCTGAGTGGTGGGATTATGAGTGAATTTAACTTTTTGTCTTTGTTCTTTTTTAAAATGCCATTCCTTGTAAAATTAGTCCTTTAGGGAAATTAAAGGACACTTTAATGAAACCTAAAATCACCTCCAAATTTCTCCTTTTGTCCAGGCTGGCATTCTTTCCACCAACACACTGAGCCAGTCAGGTGAGAGGCTTTGGGGAGACCACAGCAGGRCAGAATGAGCCCTGGTCCAGTCGGGGTTGCAATCAAGCCACCAAAGCTTGATTGTCATGTTGGATGTGCCAAGGTAAGGCACATATTTTTTTAGCAGGTGAGGCTGGAGAAAGTTTGAGACCCCATATCGAGAGGGTTTTGGGGGTGAAGAGTTTTATGGGTCATAGCATGGTTATTACTGGGGCTCAGAAAATGACACCCCAAACAATGGCACTTTGACATGCTGAGTGCTGTGTACTACGGGAGAGCTAAGACCTCTCTGACCTTCTCCTGCCTTCCTCTCACCCCCCCC